CCAGCTTGAACCTACTTCAACTAACATTGTGTGACGACGCAATCAACAACTAAGCATACGCAACACGTCTCCCAACCAGCAATGTTCACAACATCATCAACTGACTTACCTCTTCTCCCTATAACTCTACACCTGACTTCTGCGTTACTCACATAGTGACACCACGGAATACTGCCTATACTGCGAAGGCAACAGTGGTCAAACACCTCAAGCCTTATCATGTCTCCCACCTTCATTGGCCATGCTTCACAGTCATACAGTAGAACAGAGTGCACTCCTGTACAGTACACTCAACTCCTAATAGACAATCGAATATCACGGCGGAGCCACAAGTGGCGTAAGCTGGCAAACGCCAACCAGGCCTTTTGTATCCGTGAAGAGATTTCATCGGCCACTGAGCCAACAGGGCAGGCCTGATCCCACTTCCCAGATAAGTCAAGTGGTCGACACATTCAACCACTACACTCTCTATTGTTAGCCAAGGCACCGTAGAAAACCAATCACGGAGCAACACTCTGCATTTAGGTGGTGAGAAACGCATTCCAAACATTCTCAAATTCCCACTCAAAGTGTTCACAAGAATCTGAATCTCATCAGTTAGCGTCTTCACCTAGCAGGACTATGTCATCTGCGTACTCTAGGTTCAACGAAAATTCTCCTGTGATTAGATCGACCTCTGTGTAGTCAGACGATGAGAGGGAGACCTCTATAAGAATATCTATGATAAAATCGAATAAGAATGGAGACAATCGGCACCCTTGGCGGACACCACTCGATGAACACAGCTCCCCGGACATCTCACCATAGGCTCTAACACGCTGCAAGCGTTCGAGTAGACAGCCTTCAACAGGGTGATGTGCATACTCGCCATACCCTTCAGTGAGAGACACTGCCATAAGACCTCTCGACCAACGGAGTCGAATGCTGCCTTTAGGTCGAGAAATATAGTTGTCGGGCGTCGGTAAGCGTGTTTGTGTTCCAGAACCTGGCTCAGTGTGAATATTTGGTCGATACACTCGCTGCCGGGTCTAACGCCTGTTTGGTTTTCTCGGGCTTGCTGTTCTCGAGTACCACTTACGCGTATGGAATGTCAGCAAGATGTTCAAACGTTTCTGCTCACTAGGCATTGAACTGTGCAGGATTCAAAAAGCCATTAGGAAAGTGCAGTTTTGGACATTTAAACTTAACCTTAGGAAAAATCATTATATCATTTCACTTACTTGGATCCCTTTAAATTTGGACAAAGTATGGAGGCGCAGATTTGTAGAATAAAATGATATCGTTTTATTTCAGGAATATTCTTCAGTTGCATGCAGTCTAAGATTACACTGGTTATTAGCACATAAAATAACTTAAAATTAAGAACCGAATGGTCTGAAGTTGACACACTTCTTCCCTTTCACGAATTTGAATAGAGCAAGAAGAACAACAGTAGCAGAATTAGCACGCATGTATCTCGTGGATTCTCCTAAGCTGTTTCACAACTTACATGATATAATGTTTATGATGAACAATATATGTTATAGAACTTACTTTAATAAATTAATATCTCTTTTCGAATTCAGATGGAAGGCAACAAAGATTTAGGTTGACCGAAATTGACTTAGTTGTTGATATCACTGAAAGGTTAACTATTTATGTACAGATAGAATGGACATTCGAGAGAAGATAGGAGAAAGGTTATGTATATTATGGATATAAATGACAGAGGGCTGTACACAATGTTATTCTAGAATCAGTAAAAAGGACGTAATGGTTATGTAAACGTAGTAAAAGGTCAAGACGTTTTCATTGTACTGAGAAAAAATATGAGAGTAGGTCTTGTAATAGATCCAAAAATAAAGTGCGAAAAAACCTAATGGTCACGAAAACTTGTATTTACAAATTTAGAAGATTAAAATTACCAAAGCAATGCAAGATTGACAACAGTATCTTTCTGAATACTTAGATCAGGTATGCGTCTTTTAATTGCAATTACTTCTCTCGAATGTTCATTCTATTACTGTATAAACGCCTAACCTTTGAGTACACTGTATAAGGCATATTTTTACCTGTGTAATCCCGGCGTAGCACATTAGAACAAATAACAAAATAAACAAATATTTTGTATTATTTCTCAACGTTTCGATCTTGCTAGGAAGATCCTTTTCACTTTCATACTCTTGTTCTAATATACTATGCTGGGATTACACAAGTAAAATATACTTTATAAGACGAATCATATTAACTGGGTGCCTAAGTTTTTGCGAACCATCCAGTTCATTGTTGGTCAGGATACGTTTAACCTCTGAGTAGTTTTAACAACTGCGTCAATGTTGATCAACCTAAACCTGTTAACTTCCACCTCAATTCGAAAAAAATCTTGTCGATTTATTAAAGTACGTTGTATAACATACTGTACGTCGTAAGCACTATATTCTATAGTTTGTAAAGCAGTTGAGGAGAATCTACGAAATACATGCATACTAATCCTGCTAGTATTGTTCTTCTTGCTCCGTTGAAAATCTGAAGTTGTAAACCGAAATCATTGTTAGTCTATATGATATGTAATAGAATGTCCGAGAATCGTAAAGAGGTGTAAGAAATAACGGAATAATTAGTGTTACGCAACACCCAGAGGAATGACGTCCATAGGACAAACCAAATAAGTGAGTTTAAAAAGCCGCTGGTGAGTGAAATAAAATATTTTAGTCAACAAGAAACAAGATCAGATCACAGTCTTCATGGAGGCGAGAGACTGACCACACTCACCTGTATGCAGGTAGCCGACTGAGAGCATTTCATGGCAATCACTTTCATAAGGCGTATTAAACCAGGCATTTTCTGTACACTAATTATATTAATGGCACTAGAAGTACTAGCCTGTGTTTATGAGTTATCTAATAATTGTACTAGTTGGAATCTTGCTTCGTTTCAGGCAAAATTCTTCTGAATATGCTCTGGGAACCATTTGGACCCTAACTTCTGTTCTTTTGAAGTGCTTACTACTATAAGTACATGTAAATCTATATATGCAGTTGGAAGTTAAATGAGGAAGATATTTATCCAGTTTAAACTGATTCAGTGAGTTTGTACTATCGTATACCGATCCAAGATCGGACCCAGGAAAGTTCCCTCCTAGTGCTTCGTTGATTTTCATGTCCATTCTCTCGGATGTTACATCTCCCTTGAATGCGTCCCGTATATAAAACTTAACTCATCCACAACCTAGTTCCGATTTCTAGATCTTCTCGCCATGAATCATTACCGTTTGTCAAACATCTTTAATTATTAAATGTAAGTACATTATTTGTGCTTGCTCAGTAAACGTCTAACGTTTTTCTCCTCGACCTCCAGATTCTTGTGGCGACTGTGAGGCTCACACTCTTCTACTCACCCCGCTGCAACAGTGTACCTACAGGCTAGACGAAAACCTACCAACACCTGGTCGTTACAAATGCAAGCTGAATAAAAACTTTCGTTTCAACAACTGAGTGCTTACTTTTATCGACCTGTTCTTTTCTATACTTCACAATAAACCTTTTACGATATCCATTCTCTCCAGGACACTTCTCAAGAATGCTTAGTTCTTTTTTTAACTTGTCTGCAGAAAGTAGGTTTCTGGATCTGCTGTGATGTTTTGACCAACCCACGTTTATATCTGACAGGATAGAAACTGTTGCAGTTATTTTATGTACTTAATTGACCATTGTAATTTTAGACTGTATGTAACTGAGGAATATTCGTGAAATGAATGATATCATTTTGTTTTGCAAATCTATTCCTTAGCTATATCACTGGTTAATCGGAAACCTAGTTAGTAGTACAATTGTGCTCAAAAATACAACAGATGCTATTTCGGTAATGGTGTCCGTTATATAGTTAGTGCTTCTTATCAATCGGCTGACATTTATTTACAGTAACGATACACGCTTTTATGAAGCTGCCTTAGAAATTACGTAGTAATCATCTTATAAGAACTTCTTGGCCGTAAAAAAACTGGCGACTAAAATCAGAACTTTGCAAATTGACTAATTATTTGCCTCCAACTTTTATCTTTGCTAACAAACAACGATTATAGTGGTAAACTATCCTTTACGGTGCTCTGCATACTTGGAGATTTAGTGACAACTTCACTGATTATGCTTTCTAACTTCAAAGTAAAACCTCCATTGACTTAAATCGTGGCTACGACGGTATCAAAGTCTAGTACTTGAGTGAATCGATTACAATCTAACTTTACCAAGATATCCAATCTTCCTTCCAAAGATTTACAGAAAAGATTACATTTCATCCTCTTGTACGGCAGATGGTACGAGAAAGCCCTGTTTACTTGTCCTCTTACTCCTGCAAAGTTCCATTGATGCATGATAAAACGCCAGAACAACCAATGATGTGATTAGACATGATGATGAAAAAAGAACTAAGATAACTTAGAAATTAAGTGTGCAAGGATTGAAATGCCTTCTTTTCCATTCATATATCTTATACTACTTGGAATAGGACTTAAGAAGCTTCAAGATTATCATACTACGACATGAAACAAATATATACTGGCATCGATTTTTAATTCCAGTCATGCCAGACGCTGATTTGACGACTGAGATAGTAAGAAGCTGTAGGTGAGAAATTGATACAGCAGCCTAGATGAATCAAATCCCATGTCTTATTGTAAATTCACTTCTTTTTGATAAAGTATTACCCTCATTGCGCTATTCTCAAATATTCCAGCTAAGAACAATCAGAGAAAACTTTAACGCATTCGAAATCTTACTCACTCACCTTCCAGTTTCGATTTCTAGACTGCCTAACATCTTCATTGTCAAGCCCTACCGCTTCTCAGTTATCTTTTATTATTAAATGTAGGTACATCTTGTGTACTTGTTGAGTGGTCGGCTCATCTTTTTCTCTTCCTCTTTTCACCTCCAGATTCTCGTGGTCACCACTAAACTCTCACCGTTCTACGCACCCCCTGCAACAACGTACCTACCTACCGGCTAGACGAAAACGAATCAACAACTGAACGTTACAACGTTATTATTATTATCTATCATACCATTTGAAGGAGTATGATAAATTTTGACCAAAACTAATTCAAACAAGTATTTTTTTTTCCTGGCAAATAACCGAAGAAAATAAACAAACAGTTTGAAACCATAGAGAAAGGTCCTAAACTACAGCTGATTAAATATCCAGTTTGAAAAAGTCAGGTTAAGAAATCCAAACCATTTTGTCAAAGCCAGCTAAGTGTAAACTGTAAGTCGTCTCCATAAAAAATATCATTTGAAGGTACAGCACAGACTATACACAGAATGAAGAAAAATATAATATGACAGAAATACCTTCTCGATGTTATGATCCAGATTTTGGTGTGAAACAGTTTTCCACTTCACGCATAACTCGAAGAACCGTTTCCTCATGATACGGTTTACCAACCACTTGAATAGAAAGTGGCAAATTCTCTCCTCCATCTAACAGTTTGTAAACCTTGGACATGTAAGCATCACCAGAAGCGGAGAGTGAAGCAGACTTTGCCAGTGCATCCTGAACATCTTCCTTGCTGACAAAACCGGCTGGCACTGCTCCAGCAGGGTAGTCCAAAATATTATACAAGAAAGTGTACACAATAGAGGGTGAGATATAAATTGGCGAAGCATCTTCCGGTGGGGCAGGATAGGGAGAAACTGGACAGATTAGCGCATCCAGGGGACCAACTTCATTCCAAACTCGGCTAAATTCAAATCGATAAGCATTAATTTCATTAATTAAATTAAGAGCAGCTTGGCCATCTTTTAGTTTTCGAAGTTCTCTTGACACACTGACCGGTCTGCTAACGAAAAGCCGGGATATAGCTCCTATAATCGGTTTTAAAAACTCTGGAAATCCAAATAAAAGACTTAAAAGCTTTAACTGCGGACTGAGTGGTTCTCCTTGTAATTGTCTTAAGAGTTCACGACCACCATCTGCAAACAGGGCACGCAGACCAAGGACATAAGCTTCATAAGGATGAGGAACTGCAAACTTTACTAGTTTATGACCAGCATTTTCTAGTGCTTTAACTGCCTTCTCGACAACTCGCTGATTCACATCCAACACTGGCATGAGATTAGGATCATCGAAGCTGCAGTAGTAACCGATTACTAATTTACTTTTGTTCTTTCCTTCATAAGAATCGTCATTGAAATGCATTGGTACAACGTATGGGTCTAAATCAAACATTGTACGGCACAACAATGCACGCATTACACGAGCTAAGTCTTCCACTTTTCTACCCATAGGTCCTGCGCAACCTTTTATATATAGCACTGATGTCTTAGCACTTGATGCCATGCCTAATACACTCAATCTTCCAGATGTCGGTTTCAAGCCGGTCAAACCACAAAATGCACATGGTATTCGGATGCTGCCACCAATATCACTACCAATACCAACAGGTGAACCATACAAAGCCAACAGAACAGCTTCGCCAGAGGAACTACCACCGGGCATTCTGGATTTATTACGCGGATTTTTCGCATCACAATATACACAATGAAAGCTATCTAACGTACGACACAACTGGCTAGTCACAGTCGTCACAAAAGGGATTGCGCCAAGACTTTTAAGTACTTTGACGAGAACACAATCATCACACATTGGTTGGTTACAGCGTTTTATAAGACCCATAGTGCTGTCATAACCGCACGGAGAAAAAGTTTCTTTCAAACTAATCGGAATCCCGTATAGTTCGGATTCTTTATCAACGTTGACTGGGGATTTTATCATGTTAATAGTAAAGTCTCCTGCTTCTGAAATAAATTCCGCAATACCTGAATTCCCATTATCATACAATTCCAATGCTTTGGACTGAAAAGCATGTAATATGTCAATCGGGTTCAAAGTTCCGCTCTTTACTTGCTCACACAAGTATGATAAATCCTTGTTGTAAATTACATACGGTATCGATGATTCAGGCAGATTTGACAAACTCATTCTGACTTTTTCTACATTGTCTTCAACACGCTTCCGTTTTACTTTTAACAATTTCTGATTGTGATATGTACGGAGACTAGTTGATATCCTCCAAGATACCAACCCCAAACTTATTGCCAATAATATATGCCTGGTTGGATGTTTTGTCAGAAAAGTAATAAACTCCTTTGATATTTTTAAAGCATATTTACCGAGGTGATTCATTATCTGTTAAAAAGAGAAATAAATCAGATTATAAAATCAGTCTACACGAGCAACTACTTATAAAAGTGGTAAGTACAGCCAGTATGAGAGCTTTTAGTCTAAGCAAGAGCGATTACACTTGCTACGTTCAAACTCTAGTTGGAAATGGAGGACAAACGCTTCAAACTAGACGATGATTAAGTAAAGTTTATCAAAAAAGGTTGAAAACCTGATTTCGAACAAGTGTTCCATGTGGGGTCTAGAATCCTGGAGAAAAGAGTGGCTTGGGAACTTGTTCCGATAACCAGTCAGCAGAAGAAAATCAAAGAAAATACGAAACTCACTCCAGAGATCACATAGCAATTTCATTACCTATCCTAAAAATTTAGATACGGACAAACACTATCGTCATTATTCAAATTGAAGATGAGTTCAGAAACATGAAACAAAGCATCACTTTCCAGTTAAATTATCTTTTATTCTCACCTTCAGTAAACAAAGCTTGTTCATTACACTACAAGATAAGATAACAGTCTTGACTTCGAAATGATATCAATTCAGAAGGTAAGGTGCCACTAAACAGGAGTAAAAGTAGGAATACAGAAAATGAGGATTACCACTTCCAAATCCTCTCTGATACCGAAATAAAAAAAATTTAAATTTGTTTTTATGTCTGTGAAAAGCATGATAGACTATCTAACTTGTCAGGATTTTATGTAGATATAACTTAGTAATTACTTCACACTATCATGTTTTTACCATAATTTTCTGGAAATACATGCAAAAAATGGCTTCCATCATTTTCATGAGTGGGACCGTCTACCTATATGAAATCATGCTGCTTCATGTAGTGTTAGTGCTAGAAAATTAGCTGCTTACTCTGTAACATAAATGGATCCTGCAGCCGTATTCTCCAATTTCAATGAGATCAGTATGCTTGAATATTCTAATAGCGTCTAGATTTGATAGTGAGTAAGACCAAATGTTTTACAGACATCTTAACACTATGAGGAATGACTCTTTCGCAACTGCTATTTTGTTGAATTCCCAGAGAGTCACATGTGACAACTCGTCAGTTTCAACTTACAAATTGTATTCCATATTACTTTGTCTACTCGATATATTACACAGAAAATAACATTGTATCATAGCTTGGTTTGTGAAATAAAGCTGCTTTGGGACCCTCCAAAGAACAAAATATTCCTGGATCTTAACAAAAAGGTTCAGAAACAACATTCTGTGTCAATTAAACCCTAAAAAGGAGGTAAATGCAATCACTTTCTTGAAATATAAACTTAGTGTATTACCTTAAAAGTTTCCCCTTTTCGAAAAAATTTGAGTGTTCTACATATTTGCCAGCTTTCTTTAGCTGTTTAGACTGCTTTCTGCATTGTCCAATATTTCGCTTCTTCCTTTATAGATTTGTTTCCACCGCTGAACGTAACTTCGACACTCAATCACAGGATTGCCTGATACTTTTAATAATTGAGGCATATTTCTACGAATGTAGGGTTATGACAATCAACTCTTCGGGAAAAAACTTTCACCCATCTAAATCAACATATGACCAGTCAGTACTGCGTAACGGTTCGGATTGCAACAGCTCATATCAGTACATCAAAGTAAAAAGAAAGTGAAGTGGAAGATGAAGAAAACAAAATTCACTCAGAAGAAATATAAACTACTAAAAGAGGAAAAGAGAGATATTCGGTATAGCGTCATTAAGATGGGGATAATGTGTGCATGCATCAGCGCCACTGACATCGAATCTCAGCCGTATCACCTAGTCTCCAATCATTGGTTTCTCTTGTCACGCGGACCCCAACCACCTAGTCTGAATCGCCACACATGGCTTAAACCAACAGTCAAAGACTTGATGCATTGATGACGTGTTTTAGTCTGGTCACCTCGAGCCTTTTTCCAGCTTGAACCTACTTCAACTAACATTGTGTGACGACGCAATCAACAACTAAGCATACGCAACACGTCTCCCAACCAGCAATGTTCACAACATCATCAACTGACTTACCTCTTCTCCCTATAACTCTACACCTGACTTCTGCGTTACTCACATAGTGACACCACGGAATACTGCCTATACTGCGAAGGCAACAGTGGTCAAACACCTCAAGCCTTATCATGTCTCCCACCTTCATTGGCCATGCTTCACAGTCATACAGTAGAACAGAGTGCACTCCTGTACAGTACACTCAACTCCTAATAGACAATCGAATATCACGGCGGAGCCACAAGTGGCGTAAGCTGGCAAACGCCAACCAGGCCTTTTGTATCCGTGAAGAGATTTCATCGGCCACTGAGCCAACAGGGCAGGCCTGATCCCACTTCCCAGATAAGTCAAGTGGTCGACACATTCAACCACTACACTCTCTATTGTTAGCCAAGGCACCGTAGAAAACCAATCACGGAGCAACACTCTGCATTTAGGTGGTGAGAAACGCATTCCAAACATTCTCAAATTCCCACTCAAAGTGTTCACAAGAATCTGAATCTCATCAGTTAGCGTCTTCACCTAGCAGGACTATGTCATCTGCGTACTCTAGGTTCAACGAAAATTCTCCTGTGATTAGATCGACCTCTGTGTAGTCAGACGATGAGAGGGAGACCTCTATAAGAATATCTATGATAAAATCGAATAAGAATGGAGACAATCGGCACCCTTGGCGGACACCACTCGATGAACACAGCTCCCCGGACATCTCACCATAGGCTCTAACACACTGCAAGCGTTCGAGTAGACAGCCTTCAACAGGGTGATGTGCATACTCGCCATACCCTTCAGTGAGAGACACTGCCATAAGACCTCTCGACCAACGGAGTCGAATGCTGCCTTTAGGTCGAGAAATATAGTTGTCGGGCGTCGGTAAGCGTGTTTGTGTTCCAGAACCTGGCTCAGTGTGAATATTTGGTCGATACACTCGCTGCCGGGTCTAACGCCTGTTTGGTTTTCTCGGGCTTGCTGTTCTCGAGTACCACTTACGCGTATGGAATGTCAGCAAGATGTTCAAACGTTTCTGCTCACTAGGCATTGAACTGTGCAGGATTCAAAAAGCCATTAGGAAAGTGCAGTTTTGGACATTTAAACTTAACCTTAGGAAAAATCATTATATCATTTCACTTACTTGGATCCCTTTAAATTTGGACAAAGTATGGAGGCGCAGATTTGTAGAATAAAATGATATCGTTTTATTTCAGGAATATTCTTCAGTTGCATGCAGTCTAAGATTACACTGGTTATTAGCACATAAAATAACTTAAAATTAAGAACCGAATGGTCTGAAGTTGACACACTTCTTCCCTTACTTATATCTATAGAAAGTACTTACAAAAATCGCTTCTAATTGTTGCGTCCAGTTCGTTTTTTCCTCCCCAGGCATGGACTCTCTACCGACAAACAAGTATTATTGGTTAACATAGCAGAATTGATAAAGTTATAAAATAATATTGCAATTTTCCAAGCGAACCTACCACTTCCGTCTGCTCCTCGCTTTTGCTGAATGTTGTTCACTGTAAAACTTAAAGAGGAAAAATCAGCCGGCTTTGTTCGCTATGAGATGAATAAATGTCAAGGTCACGTACCGTAGGTTTACGAATGGTTTCAACACAAAACGACCAACCAAAACATCCCGAATTTTGTGGAAGTAGAAATCCACAGCAGCAAACGTTACACCTTAAACTATAAGTTGATATTTTAATCTAGTGAATAACCTTTTAGGATTTGTCCTGGTGCGAACTTGATAGACGCAAAGACCAATCACTAATTATTCGGACTTGTTATATACCCACGAATACGAGACCAAGGAAGAACACGATAGCGTAGTCGGATAGAACAGTATATTTGGATGGTTGTGCCAAAATACCGATGCGTTCCAACTAAGTGGCTAGAGAGTCGAATACGAGCAATGCAACGTAACACGACAGCGTGCCAAAATGGCGAGGATGCTTGACCGGGTGCCTTCAGCTTAACGAGTCCAGTTGACTATCAAGGTCAGCATCAATGTCGAAAGTCGTCAAACCCTAGGCTACTGATTTTAGGGATGTGCGTGACGCTACAGATCACTCCCCCCCCTAGTAGGTTCGTGAGGACAATAAGACGATACCAGCCGGAAGTAAAAACCCAGTGGTTTCTCCACTGGTAAAACTCTTCCGATGGGCTCACTGCGTGAGGTGGCCCCTGACTGTCTGAACTTATTCTAGGGTGTCGTGGCAATTAAATAATAAAATACAGTAAATCTAATTGTACGTCGATCGCGGCCTTCAGTTTCTTTTGACGTTCCGTCCAGTGCTCGTTGCACCTGGAATATAAATAAAAGTCTTTAATACCTCGGAAACGTTCCGTAAAATGGGAATTATTTATATATAAACATATAGAAAAATCAAAATTTGCGCCCATCTTCACCGTTTTCTAAAAAATGTTTCATTACATTGCAATAAAAACTGATATAAAAAGGCCAAGTACACGATGGTTTGAGCGTTGCCGGTAAATAAAAATAGTGCCTCGAAAAAAAAATACGGTTGGCATATTTTATTTCACACCGCTAAGTTGAATACGACTTTAATTACTCCGGGAACCTGACGATTCGACCTGATCCTGTTTTCTGTTGCGCAGATGGTTGCTGCAATTGTGCATTGCCATGCACATCGTCAAGAATTTCGATAATTGAGCTATCCGCCGGTCGGCTGTAGCAAGCTGAAACGTCACTTATAATGGGATTGCCCTCGAAATTAGCTGGCTTCAAACGGTCGATACTGACAGTATCTTCACGTCCATCTCGCTCAATTATATAGAATTTTTCTTGTCGCTTAATCACTTTGAATGGCCCATCGCAGGGTGGTTCAGGTGGTCAACGAACGGCGTCGTGGCGAATAAACACGTGTGATGTCTTTTGTAAACTGGGGTGAACGAAGGCATCAGTCGTTTGGGGTCTAACCGGAAAAGGCCTAACTGAACGCATTGCGTTCTTAAGCCTAGTCACGTACGATGACCTGTCAGAAAGATGTTTGAAAGTTGGAGGAGAAACAAACTCACCTGGTGGGCTAAGAGTGGTCCCATAGACGAGTTCTGCAGGAGTACATCCAGCATCAACTTTCAAGGCGTTACAAATACCTAGTAGGACTAGAGGCAGAGCCTCGGTCCACTGAGGCATGTTTGCAGCTGAAAGGGAAGCTTTCAGCTGTCGATGGAAGCGCCCTACCATGCCACTTGCTTGCGGATGATAGGCTGTCGTTCTGAACCGGGTGCAACCTACTGGACACAGTTGTAGCTTGAGAGTTGTGGACGACAACTCATGATGCAGCTCAAGGTCTTCCTTTTGACGCCGAGCTAGTTCAACGAGATCAACGCCCTCGATATAGTTTATCGAAGCTATTCGAGATAGTGCGTCGGTTACGGAGTTATTTGCTCCAGAAATGTGGCGGATATCTGACGTGGACTGGGAAATGTAATCCAGCTGTCGCGACTCACGAGGGGAGTATTTGTCAGACGCCGAGCTGAGGGAAAAGGTTAATGGTTTGTGGTCTGTGAAAATAATGAGATCACGACCTTCCACAGAATGTCGAAAATGGAGTACAGAACAGTACATAGCTAGGAGTTCCCTACCAGATGTACTGTATCTTGTTTCCGTGTCTTGCAGCCGCCTCGAGAGAAAGGTTAACGGTTGCCCCTGTTTGTCAGTCAATTGTTGCAAAACTGCTCCAATTGCTGAATCAGATGCATCAAAAGCAATACTCAAAGGAGCATTAGGGTCGTGATGCATGAGCGTGGTTGCGTTCGAAATGGCTTCCTTAACTTTAGAGAGAGCAAGTCTGGCTACGTTGTCCAGAGTTACGAACTTCGTAGTTCCTCGAAGTAAATCTGTTAGTGGTCTCATGACATAGGCACAGTTGGGGATAAACCTTCCGTAATAACTTGCCAGGCCATTGAAAGTGCTGAGATGTTTCACAGTGGCCGGCTCTGGGTAGTTTGTGATAGCCGTCACTTTATCTCCTAATTGGCGTATACCCCTGTTGTCAATGGTATGCCCAAAGAAGCTGAGTGATTCAACTCCCATTTCACACTTCGAATGCGAGGTCCAAATGTTTGAGGTGAGTTTCCTTATCTGGACTCGCAATTAGGCAGTCAACGACGTAGACATGAACAAAACTCAAACCACGGAAGACATCATCCATAAAGCGTTGGAATGATTGTGGTGCATTCCGGGGACCAAATGGCATGCTCAGGAAATTAAATAGGCCAAAAGGAGTACTAATGGCTGTTTTCGCGATATCTTCTGCTGTCATAGGTATCTGGTTGTGCGCTTTGACCAGATCGATTTTGGAGAAAATGTTCATTCCGCGTAACGTTGCAGTCAAATCGTAAACGTGAGGTGTCGGGTAGCAGTTCGGGGTTGTTTCGGTGTCAAGCCTTCGGTAATCAGCGGTTGGACGCCAGTCGCTGCCATCCTTTTTGGGAACCATGTGTAATGGCGATGCCCAAGGGCTGTTTGACGGTCTGATAATGCCCAGTTCGAGTATGTGGTCGAGTTCGCTTCTCGCCGTTTTGAGCTTATCGGGAGCTAAACGGCGCGCTTTGGATGCCACGGGTGGGCCTGTGGCTGTGACGTGAGGCACACCATTGTTGGTTATGAACGGAAGACTGTGCTTCAGTTGCTGCAACTCTGGATACTTCTCCAAAACTGCTTGGTAGGACGCGTCGCCTGACTGTTTTGTTCTAACGATGGCTGAACTTGGACCTAGGGAGGTGGTGCCGCTAATAGATAACTTTGTGTTTTTATCTATCAGTCGTTGACAGCTAGCATCCACGAGTAGATCGTAATGGTTTAGCAAATCTATGCCAATGATGGGCCTAGAGACGTCAGCAAGGAGGAAAATGCAGTGGATAGGTTTACGTAAACCTAAGTTTAGGTAGGCATACCGTCTCCCGAATATCGCGATTGCCTTGCCGTTGGCTGCTTGAGGATTGAAGAATGGGTAGTGATGACGCTCCTTTGTTGGTGCGGAAGAACGCTAACTTCTGCGCCGGTGTTGACGAGGTAGCGAACTTTCGTTTTCATGTCGGTGACGTAGAGCAAACGGCCGTTTCGCCGGCTACGGTTGCCATGAACAAGTGCCGGCGTGACCGTTTCCCGAGTTCGTGTCCTTGTCAAAACGGCATGGTTTCTAACGTTTTCTGTCTTCGTCTCCGTAAGTATTATGAAACCAGTGCCATTCAGGGTTTTCCACCCTGTTAGGTTTTGTTTTGGGGCTACCACGAGAGTTGCTGCGATGCACTAAGACGCGTTTCTGTGAAGTGCTACGTGAACTAGTACTTCGAGATCGTAGCAACTGTTTAACAGAGTCGCACAGCTTGGTCACCTTTGAATCCTGGCGCTCTGGTTTGTCGCAGACGGAATGTACGTTGGAGATGGGTCTGCTAGGAATCTCCAATATTTTATCTGCCGGGACTGTCAGGTCATTGAGTGGGACTGACTACGGTGTCACCAGCACGGTTTGCACCGGTTGGGGTAGTTTTGAGAGAAATAGTTCTCGTAAAAGGCCATCGTCGAATGTTCGTGAACCCATAACTTCTCTCATGCGTGCGAGGATTCCAGTAGCTGAGTGGCTGCCTAGCTCGATATTACGAAGCAATTCGTCTAGGCGCTGGCGATCTGTCAGATCGCTTTTCTTCAAGAGTGCGGCCTTAAGAAGTGTATAAAAATCACCTACTTCAGGGATAAATATGTGTGCTGTAACGTACCTGTTTAATTCTCGCGGTAGTGACCGTATGACAGCAAGAAATCGAGAATGAGGATCTGAGACGCCCCGTTCTCGAAAATCGGCCTCGGCATAAATAAACCATGTTTCCGCATTGATTTTGGGGAAGCGTGTGACGCTACAGACTGGATATCGCGATCGACAGGTAAGGTGTAGGAGTTTTTGACAAAAAATTTCACTGCCACGCCAAAATAAGGCGCACAATGCTGAAATAATGCGGGCTGTGGTGAAATAGGGTGGGCAGTGCTGAAATAGTGGGGATAAATTAGTTGATGTCTGTAGCGCAGTTCACTGCATTACGTAAGAAATGCAAAATACCTAATTCTTTGAAGTTTTTATGAATTTCATTTGTATGAGTCCAAGATAAGTAGGAATACAATAAGTTTCCACCTACTACAATTACTCCGTTGTCTAACCGTGGAGAGAAAAATGGTCGCCATAACTTTGGCGCGTACACCATGGAGGCAGGTTGCTGTTTTGTTCCCTGGTGACGATTATGCATCCTTAAGTAACCTAGTGTTACTAATGACAATGTTCCATATAATTTATCGACAATAGTCAACAAAAGAAGGGTGTCGTCTGGTAGAATCCCTGTACCAGTAAACTATCATCGTTCAACCTTTCATCGACGTCGCAAAAGGTTAGTTGACTCCATTTGCGCGAAGTTTAGCTTGCTTGAATTGGGATCTCTGACGCCTGGGGCGGCAGCAGTTGGTAAATATCCTATTCATAAATTAATGTGTACAAGAAGCATCAAAGTGTGCCCCTGACCATGTGGCCGCGCCATGCTCAATTGTGGGACCCGAAATGTCCTCTAATGAAGCCCACAAAGACATCTCAACCATACCAACCATCGAGCGTGAGCGTATCCGGCAAATGGTCATCGAAATGATGCTCAATCTTAACATGAGTGTTTCTGCTGCAGATAGAATGCTGGTCTACGTGAACCGAGTTTGTCCTAACGTCCCAACTAGTGTCCGTGGATTGATGAGGGGGAGTAGCAACTGTGAACCGCGATTTCTTGAACAAGGGGTTTATTACCACACAGGTTTAAAACACGACTTGCAACGTCGTCCAGTCGGGCGGGATAAATGTCAGCCTACAACTGACGTGGAAATACCACTGAACTACTATGAGTTG